TCATCTAAAAATTTTTGGATGTGCGGTGTATGTCCCAATTCTCCACCAAAACGCACAAAGATAGGACCTCAAAGAAGGTTGGGAATATATATTGGGTATGAATCCCCATCTATAATAAAGTATCTTGAACCATCAAAGGAAGACATATTTATAACAAGATTTGCTGATTGTCATTTTGATGAATCAAATTTCTCGACAATATGGGAGAAAATAAACAGCTGAATAAAGAAATAAGATGGAATGAATTACTGTTATCTCATTTTGATCCTCGTACAAAACAATGTGAGCAAGAAGTTCAAATGATAATTCATTTACAAAGTTTAGCAAATAATTTGCCAGATGCTTTTACAGACTAAAAAAGAGTGAGTAAGTCGTATATTCCGGCTGCTAATGCTCCTGAAAAAATTAATGTCCAAGAGGGTTAACCATCTGCCGCTAATGAGTCAAATGCTACTATAAAATGTCGTAGACCATTGGGTTCCAAAGATAAAAATCCTTGAAAATAAAAGCGAGCAAAGAATCAAGATGGTCATTGAGAAAATAATAATTCAGGAAAAATCTCCTGAAGGAAATGAAAACATGACTCAAGAGGAGATAAAGGTACCTAATTCTTCATAAGATGAGATCTCATTAAACTATGTCATATCGGGAAAAATTGGGAACCGTGACAAAGTCATCTTCGATGATGCATTCACATATAATCTAGCGCTAGAAGTTATGGATAAAATCGAGAATAAAAAACCTCACTCGGTCGAGGAATGCAAAGAAAGAAAAGATTGGCCAAAATGGAATGACGCAATTCAAGCATAATTGAATTCTCTCACAAAACGAGAAGTTTTTGGGCCTGTAACCCATATACCAAATGGTGTCAAACCCGTTGGTTATAAATGGGTATTTGTTAGAAAACAAAATGAGAACAGAGAAATCACAAGATATAAGGCATGATTGGTTGCCTAAGGATTCTTCCAAAGACCTAGAATTGATTACGAAGAAACATACTCTCTCGTGATGGATGCAACAACTTTTAGGTACCTTATAAGTCTGGCAATGAAAGAGAGTCTTGACTTGCGTCTAATGGATGTTGTTACAATATATTTATATGGGTCACTTGATAGTGACATATATATGAAACTACCAGAAGGATTTAAACTACCAGGAGCAAGTTCTCAAGAACAATATTCAATTAAATTGAATAAATCTCTATATGGGTTGAAACAATCTGGGACAATACGGTACAATCGTCTTAGTGAGTATTTGATAAAAGAAGGGTATAAGGATGACTCTATTTGTCTATGTATATTCATAAAAATATGTGGATCTGAATTTATGATCATAGCTGTATATGTTGATGATCTAGACTTAATTGGTACTCCTCAAGGAATCACTGAGGCAAAAGATTGTTTGAAAAAAGAATTTGAAATGAAGGATCTGGGAAACACAAAGTTTTACCTTGGTTTGCAAATAGAACATCTTAAAGATGGAGTTCTTTTGCATCAAGCAATAAAGCAATTTTACATGGATAAAGTGCATCCTTTGAGTACCCAAATGGTTGTTAGATCCTTTGATGTAATAAAAGATCCTTTTCGACCTCCGGAATGTGATAGTGAAATTCTTGGTCCTAAGGTGCCGTATCTAAGTGCTATAGGAGCACTAATATATCTATCTACTCATACACGACCTGATATTGCATTTGCTATTAATTTATTAGCAAGATATAGCTCTTGTCCTACTAGAAGACATTGGAATGGGATAAAACATATACTTTGTTATTTGCAAGGTACAAAGGACATTGTTCTATATTTTCTAACAAATGCATGGAGGGATTAGTTAGTTTTGCAGATGCAGGATATCTATCTGATCCACACAATGGTCGTTCACAAACAGGATATGTATTTATGTCTGGTGGTACATCTATTTCATGGCGTTCAATGAAGCTATCCATGAAGCTAGCAGAGAATGTGTCTAGTTGAGAAATATGACACATCATATTCGCAAGGTATCCAATTTACTTTCAGAAAAGGAAGCACCAACGGTTATATATGAAGACAATGCAGCTTGCATAACTCAATTGAAAGATGGGTACATAAAAGGAGATAGAGTGAAACACATCTCGCCACAGTTTTTCTTCACTCATGATCTTCAAAATGATGGTATTATAACAGTCCAACAAATTCGTTCAAATGAGAATCTAGTCAGACTTGTTCACAAATGCACTCCCTACTTCAGTATTTAATAAATTGGCACATGATATTGGATTGCGACGACTGAAAGACATCAAGTGATGTTGCCATCAGGGGGAGTGAATATGTGTGTACTCTTTTTTTCTTGGTCATGTTTTTTTTCCATTGGATTTTTCCTTGGTAAGGTTTTTAACGAGACATGCAATTCACCTATTAATGGACATCCAAGGGGGAGTGTTATGGAATATTAATGTGGATTCCATAACCCCTGTACCATCTAAGCTACAACCTTCTACTTCAGTGGTGTAACTCTCCTAGCATCAATTCTTGTAACTTCAAATCACATGTATGGCTATATATAGGAGGGCTTATGTATTGGAAATATGACAAGAGAAAAGTGAACAACTCATTTTCTTCCTCTAAATTTATTCTCCACATTCTTACATACATATTCTTGATAGTCAAACTGGCTATTATATAACAAAGATAAAATTATTGATGCAAGTGTTATCTGTACCGCCATTCCAGGGGCAGAGGATCTCCACCTGCAATTTGATTAATTTATAAACAAAAGAGGTTTGCTAAGGGCACCCGCAATGGGTGACTCATAAGCTAGCTCTAAGCATTTTTTCTTCATATTTTAATAAAAGAGAGAGAAAAGCTAGCTCTTGATTAAGAGCTAGGCTCATAAACACATTCCAATAACATGTGAGAGTGTCATATGGGTCTAATCATACTATTAGCCATTGCTAAAAGCTAATACTATTGGAGATGTTTTCTTAGAGCTAGTAGCTGACTCTCACTATTGCGGGTGCCCTAATACATAGTTCTTCACTACTCCCTCCGTCCTAGTATATAAGGAGTAACACCCAAGTTTGAAGGTGCATACGCTAACACCCAACAACGTAGAGAGGCTTATATAGGGAGAAACGTTTGCTCAGCACTGCGCACACCAAAAGGGCAAAGGCGCCAGAGTATGGTAATGAGAATGGATGACCATGTCCCGGTTGAGCTAAGCATGTGCAGGAACAGACCCAAATCTCTTCGTCGGGCATCGCACCAAGGGACTGCATCCCAAGTCGCCCCGGCACAGCATTGCTGAGGGTGCATTTGAAAAAATACATGGCGTAGGTCTTCAGAAGTAGCATGGCATTCTTGCGCGAAAAAAGCAACATTGCATTATTGTCATTGAGAGCCATCGTCATCCAAAGACCAAAATGTTCTTTCGACGCGGGTTGGTCCGTGTGCAAAACCTTGTTTGGTACTTTTGTCCCCCGGATCATACTCCCATGAAAGCCCTCGTCGGCAGGGAGCAGCAGTACAGTACAACAATGTAGGCATCCCGCAAGCAGTACTGACTTCCCTGTAGTCTTGAGGGTGCGTTTGGCAACTACCGGTGGTTGGACTGACCTATGAGGATAGGACTAAGGGGCTGTTTAGTTCTAGGCCACGTTTTGACCCACATCCAGCTGCGGCGAGTTGTGGCGGCAAAATCCAATGCCACACTATGTGGCGACAAACAAGTGTGCTAGTTCTGTGGCTGCCTAAGGTTGCATATGAACCAAACACTAGCCTAATAAATGGTGGCGGGCCACATCTGTGGCGAGGTGGAGTATAGCGTGAATCCAAATAGCCTCTAACAAAGTCATGCTCATGCCTTTGTTGGGACTAGGAACGACGGGTGGTGGATCAAGCCGCGTGTGTTCCCTGCCTCCATTGCCACTGTCCTTTGGCATCCACCTAGTGGTGTTGATGGAGGAGTGTAGGCTGCCGCTTCGCTGCACTCGGTGAAGACGCTGCACAACGGGGGTCTTGATACGGCGGCTCATGTCAGCACCAGGGCCATAGTTGCCATACTCCAGGTCCACCACGACAAGGGCGAAGCTAGGAATTATACATAGTAGGGCCGGGCGAAAAGAGTCGACTTGTAAAAACTGAGGGCAACTCAGCTGGTTAGGTTTCTCACAATGATCGTCTAGGTTAATTCATAGACTTGACACGGCTGCTCTTATTTTCTTATATGTATTCTAAGATCTAAGACACTTTTTCTTTCAGTGGTAGGAGGCATGCCCCTTGACAGTAAGGCTCCGTGGTGACTTTATAAATCTTGAGATCTAGCGGCTTAGTCTTTCGGAGGTGTTCATAGGGATGATTTTATTCTCTAGTTGTGCTTTGTATAATTTTATTATCTACTCCCCTGTCTCATAAAAAGTATCGTTATGGGATTCGTAGTGGTCAAACTATCTTAAATTTAACTAGGTTTGTATAAAATATTGGTAACATTTATATCTTCAAATAAGTTTATTAAAAAAATATATTCAACGACCTATCAAATCCTTTACCGCTGCAAGGCAGCGCTGATGCTTGTGAAGTGGCCGTCGTTGCTGGCATCCTTGGCCACAACGACGTGTGTTCCCATCATATTAAGATGCTAAATTGGCCGGCCAGTTCTTGTTCTTGACAGAGATGAAATAACCTTACATGTTGCAACTAATCCATCAAGTTGGATAGCAAAGATTTTGCTGTTTGCTGCTCCGTGTAATCTCTCTACCTTCCTGGAACTGGAAATGCACTCAGCACATACTTGTTTATACTTCCAAGTCCTATTGTCCTATAAAGATCCAGTGACGTGACCGACGGAGAGATGGGCTTTGGAATTCCTATGTGGGCTGGATCAAATTGGGCCGGGCTACATTTGCACGAGCAGGGAACAAACATTATCTGCCAGCCCGATCGCGTCCCGTCCCCTTCGTTCGTTCAGCTCACCATCTCGGAGAGTCTCTCGCAGCAGAGCGCGCAGTGCAGCGACAGTGAGCAAACATGGCTCACTGCCTCACCAGGCAGCATTACTCCCGCCTCCTCGCGTTGTTCCCCGCCTCACTGGGTAATCTCCTACTGCTCAGAACAGGTTCTGTGCCTGATTGCCTCTGTCTTATTCCTCTCAGTGATTTTAGTTTATAGTTCTGGCACCCGTCTATTCCTGGCATGCTGTTCGTTCCAATAGTTCCAGACTTTCTATAAGGTTTCATGGTGGTGCGAGGTGGTATTTCTTTCCGTTTCGTGCGTCCAACTCTTGGTTTTAGATGGGTTTATTTATTGGGAGAATCGGTGGTTTCGTGGGAGCGTCCTTAAAAGATGTTGTGCTAAGCGGGCAGAGTGCCCACCACCTGTTTGTGGAATTGCTTTGAGGCTGTTCTTAGATTGTGAGCTACCAAAACACTACGAATTTGTAGGTTTGTTATTCCTATAATGATTTTTCATTGTAAACTGGAGAGTTAATCAGGAATCCAGCTTTCGACTGTGGCCCCAAACTACACAGATACCTTCACATTGTCTCCTCTCCTGAAGCTATGACTGCTGTTCCAATCTCATTGAGTGTAATGCATCAATGCGTGGCCATGTTCAGTGTGTGAATGGCCACACTTTACAGTAAATTTGTTTCATCTATCTTATTTCCTTTTGTTTTACCAATTGTTGTTTCCTCATGCTCACCCCCTTTTGTACAAAACTTTTATTGAATATGCTCTGTAGTTTGTCTGAAAGGATAGCTCATGACTAGAAAATTAATATCTGCTTCGTAATCTTTGAAATCTGAAAAACAAATTGAACTTTTATATGTTCATTTGAATTATTATGTTCTATGTGACAATATAAAGTTTCCTGCCTCCTAGGAATCTTCCGGTTGACATGCCGTTGTACAATGTGGCACTTCATGGAGCACACCAACAGAATCTGAAACCGAACCTTCATCAGATGAATCTCCAGCGCCTGTTCAAGGTGGTACTGCCCCTCTGGTTTGTGCACTGCAATCAACTGCCAGACAAGATGTTTCCTGCTTTCACTTCGCAGGACACAACAGAGGAAAAGCTGCTCCATTTTCCTTGTTGAAACTTATTGGCTCAGGGACATTTTTGCATGACTTATCCGAGCTACCTGAGCTGGACGATCTCTTCTCCCCAAAAGGTGTGATTCTAGATGCTCAAAGGCGAGCAGCTCAGCTGTTTGGGTCATCTAAAAATTGGTTCCTTGTCAATGGAACTACCTGCGGAATCCAGGCCTCAGTGATGGCTACCTGTTCTCCTGGTGACTACCTCCTTGTGCCGCGAAACTGCCACATTGCAGTGATCTCTGCGCTGGTCTTATCTGGTGTGGTGCCTAAGTACATAATACCGGAATATAATTCTGGGTGGGACATTGCTGGTGGTATCACCCCGTTGCAGTTGGATGAAGCAGTAAACGAGTTGGAGGAAGATGAAAAGAGGGTAGGCGCTGTTCTTGTTACCTCGCCAACCTACCATGGTGTATGCAGTAATGTGCAAGGTATTGTCGATGTTTGTCATCCACGTGGCATTCCGGTTATAGTTGACGAGGCGCATGGCGCACATTTCAGGTTCCATGACAGTTTGCCGAGCACTGCAATTGAGCAAGGTGCTGACCTAGCTGTGCAATCCACGCACAAGGTCCTGTGCTCCCTTACACAGTCCTCAATGCTTCACATGGCTGGAGATCTTGTGGATGTAGATAAAGTAAGCCAGTGCCTTCAGCTCCTCCAGAGCTCGAGCCCGAGTTACCTCCTACTGTCATCTTTAGATGCTGCAAGAGATCAGCTGAGCAAGAACGGAAATATATTTGATGAGCCATTAGCTATAGCATCAGAAACAAAAGACCAGCTGATGATAATCCCAGGGATATCTGTTCTGGACTTGCCATGCTTTGCCTCTGAATTGATCCATTGCGTATCACACTCAGCGCTTCAAATATGCAATTATTGGGATATGAAGCTTATGACATTTTATATGAAGGTCATCAAATTGTTTCTGAGCTTGTTGGCACACGGGCAGTGACATTTGCAGTCAACTTAGGAACCAGAGTGCAAGATGTTGAGAAGCTTGTGCAATCTGCAAAGCATCTATCAGAAAAATATTTCTTTGCAAATAGCTCCAAACCTATGAAGGAAAATCGTGTGCGTGACCCATTAGAGAAGATCTCTGTGCATCTGACTCCAAGAGAGGCCTTCTTTACAAAGAAGAGGAGACTGAGAATTGAGGACAGCCTTGGTGAAATTTGTGGTGAGCTAATATGCCCTTATCCACCTGGTATCCCAGTGCTGATCCCAGGCGAGGTAGTAACCCATGATTCACTGTCTTACTTGATGAGTATCAGACACCAAGGCATCACAATTAGTGGAGCAGCTGATGATGAGCTAAATTCCATTCTTGTGTGCAACTTGTGATGATTGCCCTATTGTTTCAGGAGACTATATTGCAGAGATGCTGTGGGAGATCAATTATAGTAGGCCAAGTCAAGAGCACAATCTACTGCCTGTTTGATGGATGTGAACAACAGTTGCGTTAAACCAATGGTTGACCACTTGACCAAATAATTTAGATTGCATTGTCTTGTGATAGCCTACCCCAACTTGCTTGGGACTGAAAGGCTATGTTGTTGTTGTTGCATTGTCTTGTGAGCTGAAAGAGTTGCCAAGCTGCAACATGGTACCAAAGTATTAATAGGATCTATAGCATGTGATCTCTTGTGAGTTTGAAGTATGAATTGCAGGGGAGGCTACCTTTTCATCTGAAGTGCCTTGCAATGTAATGGTATCCTGCTTTTATGTGTTTCTCTTCGAGAAAAGAGTCAGCATGATGCCAAAGTATGAATAAGGTCTATATCATGTGACCACTTGGCCAAATAATTTAGGTGGCCGAAATAACAAGGACAACAGTGCACATCCTAGGCGATGGCATCTTACTTCAACAGTGACGGCATTCTTCTTGCGTATCGGAATAGGTTTGGGGCACCAGGATCTAGATCTCACATGACTTGGTACATTTTCTTGCCCCTAAGGTCAGACACGGTGGAAGTGATGAGGTCTGCATCAGGTTCAGCATGATGGGTTGGATCATATCTACACCATAATAGGTAATTACCCTCTTATGATTTTTCGTATTAGGTCGACATATTGTTTGTATGTCGAGACAAAACCTGTCACTGCCGCCGCACTATGAATACCATACCTCTGTGTCAAACCAGATTACTTTAATTTGAGTAGTAGTTTTTTTTTCTTTTTCTTTTTTTAAAAAACTCGACCTGCAGGGGGTATGATGGCCCTGGGCATTTTTTAAGAAGAAGAATGATCTTCTCACATAGATCGAGAAAACCCCCAAACCCCCGCCCCCATCTTGATGCAGCGGAATCTATTGCCCTGTGAGAACCGGGCCGGGCCGTTCTGCGCTTTGGCTTATGGGGACATGCAAGGGGATTTTTTTACCCCAGCCTGAAATTCGCTCCCATGGAGAGTCGAACGCAGGACCTGAGGGGTGCCGCCGGAATTCCCTAACCACTTGGGCTAGAGTCCTTTGGCGTTTTTTTTGATATGGTGGTAGCAAGAGCTCACTAAACAAGATTTGTGTGTGAGTAGGAGATTAAAAACATATTTCTGTTAGATTCAGACCGTCGTTATATGGTTGTGATATTAATGGTCTTATCAAATTAGGCATAGAAAAAATTAGGAGGATGCCATAGTGTATTTTTTTTATATGCATCTGAGTTTAGTATGTTTTTAAGTGTAATTATCAATGTATTCTACTCACTTGCTCTGTTTCCTATTGAAGCGATGGTATTATTACTACTCTGGAATTTGATCCTAGATATTGCATACCATACTGCTTGCTAATTGTATTAATATATGTATGAATGCCATATACTATGATTATTTGAGCAAAGCTTTGCACATTGTGACTCATAAATGGAAGTCAGGTAATCTCATAACAATTGTGACATTGGACGCAGACAATATTTTTGCTTTGCAGGTTGAATGGAACGACAAGGCAAGAATTATCATTTTCGATCCGGTTTCATGTTTCGGGACAAGATCGATAGTAGAATGTAAGATCCAATCTGGTTTAATTTTACCTTTTCAATGTACTCCCTCCATTCCAATTTATAAGTCGTTTTGTTTTTTCTAGATACATAACTTTTATTATGTATCCACACATATCGTATATCTAGGTGCATGGCAAAAGCTATGTATCTAAAAAAGCCGAAACGACCTATAATTTGGGACAGAGGGTGGTAGTTTAATTTCTAAGGACAGTAAGACATTCACCGATTTGCTCCATCTAGATCTAAATTTACATTTTCAAATCTCCATTGGCAAATCATGTGCTCAACCCTGTGGCAGTCCTCCCTCCTACCGTTCAGATTTGTATCAATGTTCTCAAATCTCAAGTCCAGCAATCTCAAATGCCCAGGTGGTGTTGCAGGAGATTAGCGAGCAGGCAGCATTGTGGGTTATGGCTGGTGCTAAGGGTCTGGGGGGAGATTTTAGGTTACTTAGTTGGGTTTGGCCGTTCCATCTCCAAGGGCATGAACGTGCTAAAATAACTAACCCCTGGCGTGGCATCAGCTTATATCGGACTTTTTTCTCTACCTTAGTACCTTAATACAATGACACACGTTTGCATGTTCGAGAAAAAACTCAATTTCTATGTTACAACAAAATAGTATGTAAACATACAACAACATCACATGATTCATTCATCAACCGGAAAGATGTTCCATGTTATTTAGGGCAAGCATGGAGTAATGCCTCCTTATTTTCTTCCACTTATCATTGAGTTATGCAATACAAACACTATCATTGATGGAAGTCATTTCAGTGGCGACGACGACGACGATGGCGGATCCGTGGTTGTAGGACACGCAGAAAAAATCTGTCCACTTGATAGTATACCCATCTCCTCCCGTTACCCCACAGCAGCGCGGTTGCAACCACGGTGGCCAATCCTGATATGACCCCTACCTCAATGGCCAAAACATCCCAGTTCACCTCTGTAGAAGAATCGGGTGCAGCAGGAGCTGACGGCGGTTGATTCATGGTGCATGGGTGTGGAAGCGGCTTCCCACACAGCCCATCGTTCCCCAGGAAGGATGTTTCTGGGAACGTTGAGAACTGGTTGGACTGCGGTATTGGTCCCGACAGGTGGTTGTAGGAGAGGTTGAGCACCTCAAGGAAAGTGAGCAAGGCCAACTCCGGTGGAATCTTCCCAGAGAGCTTGTTGTAGGAGAGATCGAGTGACTCCAGCTGCAGCATGTTTGCGATCCGAGGAGGGATATGACCAGTGAATGAGTTCCTGGACAGGTTTAGCCCCTTGAGTAACTTGAGGTCGCCAATGCCGTTGGAGATGGTACCATCAAAGTTGTTGTTGGAGAGATCGAGGTACATGAAAATTGGCAGGATGCTCACCATGGTTGTTTCTTGCCCCTTGAGGGTGATTGTGAAAGAGCTCTTGTCGTATGGCATGTAACCTGGAGGTGATCTGTCTAAATCAACAATGATTTCAGTATATATACTGGGAGGCCCTGATGAGGAAGGTACCATCATAGCCTTCAACTTCTTGAGGATCAGTGTAGGTATGCCACCAGTAAAAGCATTTGAAGAAAGGTCAAGAACTTGTAGTGCTGGAAAGTAGGAATGCATTTGTTTATGCCTCCCATACTGATCAATGTGACCATTGAACCTGTTGTCATTTAGAACAAGCACTTTCAACAGAGGGAGGACTCCCAGCCACTCTGGGAATGTGTCAACTATTTTGTTGTTTCCGAGGTCCAGGAGTTGTAGCATGTGACAGTTGACCAAAGATGTTGGCAGTTTTCCTTCCAACTTGTTGTCATTGATATCTATTATTTGAAGTGCACATTCCTTGCTGATCTTTTGAGGCACGGATCCATGGAAATTGTTGCCTCTCAACTTCAATATCTCGAGCTTGTTTTTGTGCTTCAGCAAGCAGGGTGGTATCAATCCACTAAATCTGTTAAAAGAGAGGTCTAGAATTTCTATATTTGTCCCGTTGCATAACAAATGTGGAATTTCTCCTACAAGGTTATTGTTTGACAGGAATACAAAACTGGAAGAGCTAATGTGTGACCAAAAATCGGTCGTGACAGAAGAGTTGAAGTGATTGTTGGAGTAGTCCAATTTCACAGTTTCACGTGGGGGCAACGGGAGAGCACCCTCAATCTTGTTGGAATGGAGATCGAGGTAAAAAAGACCATACATGGATACAGACAGATCTGTTTGTATGCTAGAAAATGAATTATGAGAGAGGTTGACGGCATCATATTCTCCATTCTCCCAAATCCAATCCGGTACATGACCAGCAATATTGTTGTTTGAGAGGTCTAAATGTAACAGTTTCTGGTGCCTTAGAAATTCAGGCACATTTGTTAAGTTGCATGATGCCAGTCCCAGAAAATCCAAACGACGAGGATATTCCCGGTAAGAATTAGTATCATCATCTTCCATTATTACAACGGACAGCCTGTTGCTGGATAGTGATAGAAGGGTCATATTCACGTAGTTCTTGATCAAATTCAGATCCACTGTACCAGTGAAATTGTTTGATGAAAGGTCCAACTCTTCTAATCCTAGAAGCTTGGATATTAGCTTGGGGATTGGTCCTTGGAGTTTGTTCTTACTTATGTCAATCATTCTCAACCTTTGTGATGCATTGGGGTACAAGTGAAAATTCCCGGTGAAATTGTTCTGCGATAGGTGTAGATATTGTAGATGAAGGTGAGAAAACAAAGATGCAGGTATCTCACCAGATACTGAGTTGTTCTCAAGGTTGATATACATTAGGTTGTCCAGACCAAGGTAGCCGTCTGAAGGTAGAAAACCAGTTAGGTTGTTAGTTGACAAGTCGACCACCAAAATCTCAGGCCATTGAGCAAAGGACGGGATGAGCCCATGGAATTGGCAAGAATAAAGGTCCAGTATGGTCAGATTTTTTAGGTTACCGATGGATTCTGGAATTGGTCCAGAAAACTTGGTTCCACTAAGGACCAAGACCTGCAGCGCGCTTCCCTGTTTGAACTCCGGCAGCTCACCGTATAGATTCTTATTAAATGATACGTCCAGGATGGCCAAGCTTTTGATATGAAATATTTCGAAAGGGAAGGTTCCATTCAATCCACAGTCTTGAAGGCTGAGAAGTACCAAGGATGAAAAGTTTGTGAAAGATTCTAGTACACGATCAGTAGGGACAAAGTCACTGTTATCGAGTGTCAGCTTGGAAAGAAAGCGGAGCTTAGCAAGAAAGATATCAATAGGACCAGTGATCTTGCAACCACTCATCGTTAGCTCTTGGAGAACAGGCGTTGTAACCAACCCTGTTGGACTTGGGTTGAGGACCGAAATGTTGACACCGACAAGGTATAACTTTTGGAGGCTACCGAGATTGTGAACCAAGGTGTCTAGGCTCAGATCTCCAAGGTCAAGCCCTGAGAGGCCTAGCGTGACCAAATTGGCAAACCTTGCAAGAGCAGCACTATCAAAACGGCCAGTGATGGTGCAACTAACAAAAGGGCTGAACTTCGTGCACCCCATCATGCTTAGCTCCTTGAGAGCCGACGTTGTGGTATAATTGTTGCTAGAAGAAGAAGAGGCAAATGTAGAATCATTTTGACTAACTGAGACGTTGACACGATCAAGATAGAGCTCTTGGAGACTGCCAAGGTTGTCAATCAAGGTGAAAAGGTTCAAATTCTCAAGACGAAGACCCGAGAGGTCTAGCGTGAGCAGATTGGCAAGCTGGCCGTTTTCGACGGAGAAATGACCGGACAAGCCGGAATAAGAGAGGTTGAGGTACTTGAGATCACTGAGCTGCTGCTGTGCGGATCCTGCAGCACGACATACCCATGGATTATTTCCACGGAAGAAGTTTCCTGCAAGGTTAAGGGAGCGAAGCGAGGTGAGTTTAAAGATGTCTGAGCTGAGGTTACCCGAGATGCCGAGGCAGGAGAGGTCAAGAGCGGTGACATGGCTATGGCCTGAAGCGCCGTCGTCACACGTAACACCTTCCCAGGTGCAGCAGTCGGTGTCTGCCTGCCAGGACGAAAGGTTTGTTTGCAAAGGCAACGGCAGTGGGCGTGGAAATGAGCCGGGAAAGAAGCGGAAGTTGTTCTGCTCTTGAAAGGAGGGGAAGGCCAAAGGGCAGAAGCGAAAAGGGAAGAAGTGGAAGTTTGCTTTGAGGCGTAGCAGGGCATCACTTTGGTCTTGGTGGCATAGGCACGCTCCACGACCGCTGGTTGTGAAGATGATGACGACGATGACGAGAAGGTAGCTGGGAACGGAACGACAGCAAAACAGCATGGTTTCCGAGCTGTGGTGTGACTGGTGACTTGAGTTAGAGGAGGAGAGTTCAGGGTACTCGGTGCTTATGTTATGACAGTGCAATTGTGCAAGACGTTGGGCATGGGCAGCAGCCTTAAATAGACTGGAGACGGATGGTACACGCACACTTGTATAAGACAATGGCGATGGGACCACAGGGGTCAAAATCCATGCCACCAGAACACGTATATACGGTTCTACCATCAGAGTAGGAGCTAACCAGATTTGCTATTGTTAGATTGATCTCCTAACCAATAAGCCCAACGGTTTATTGGGCCTTGGTCACGCGCCCTGATCGGGGGCGCCCAACCCTACATGGTTGGTGGGCCCCCGTCGCACTGCGCTATATAAAGAGGTGGGGGCCGGCGGCTCAAAGCACGAGGTTCGCCGTGAGCCGCAAACCCTACCGACAAACCCTAATTCCGATCTCGAAGAGGGTGCGCATGACCATGACGGAAGCCGCCACCGTCATTGTCATCCTGTCGCCTTGCCAGACTGCATCACCGTCTCCTTCATCGCCCTCTCTTCACCGACCGTCTTGCTCGTGTGGAGTGACTTCACCGACGGTCGATGGAGGCCTCTGGATCCACTCCCTCCGGGATCTCGGGTTGACACCTTCTCCTTCCTCTAGATAGCATTCTAGGTCTACATCGTTGCTGTTGCCTACCGCTCTTGTTGTCTACCCTCTAGACCGACTGCTAGATGATTCAAAGGGTTTTATCAATGGTATCAGAGCCTACTAGCATGTAGATCTAGATAGGGGTAGAGAAAGAATGAGATCACGATCTCGGATTGGATCTGAAATCGAACCCTAACCCTAGATCGGGTTCGGGGAAAAGAAAAGAAAAGTTACCCGAGAAGAAATCAAATCGGGGGGAAAACTATCCAAACTCTTACCCTAATCCAGGAAGGGGAAGAAAGGGAAAAGGGTAGCCTACCTCGCGTTTGCGTGGCACTGCATTCACGCCGGCGCGTGGGGAAAAGATAGGCCGGCCGGGGGCATAGCTCACCGGGATACGGCGCCCGCTCGGTGACTGACTGAGAAAGAAAAGAACCGATTCCAAATCGGGAAAGCAAACCCTAACCCTAAAAAGGAAGCCTACCTAGGCTTTTACCCACCCATGCACGCCACCTCAGCGAAAGGGAGACCATGTCGCTCAAGCAGGCGCTATGAGCCAAGATCCGCTCGGCACCTGTGACGCATGATGGTCCCGGGCGGAGGCGTTGAGGGCACTAACGCTGAGGCCGCGACGGCGGGCGCGGCCACCCAAGGGGACCGAGGGCCCATGTGGCGCCGTCTTCCTTTTTCCTTCCCGCCGCCATGGTTGCTCATTGGTTCAGTGCTGGCGCGAAGAGAGTGAAGGGAAGATAGAATGGAGCTAGGGTTGAGGGGCGCGGCGGTCGGGGTTTTGATGCCCCAGTAGTCAGCTCAACCGTCCGATCTGGATGAGACGGAAATGATCGAGACGGTATGGACAAAGCGGGATAGGCACGAGGTGAATTTCGCCCAGCCCAAAGTTGCGGCTCTGGCGCTGGAATTACGCAGTGGGCTTGGGCAACCGGGTAGGGAGAGATTTGCTTTGGTAAGGTGAAGCAAAATGGGCCGCCCAGTGTCTAAATCTGGGCGAAATGGCCTAATGAATAGAAATAGCTCAAAGTTTTTCTTTTATTTTTCCAGAAATATATATTTTGATGAATTTCAATTGGAAGTTGATGCAAATCTTTGTGCAATTTTTGTCCAACGACAATTTTGTTCAGAGAACAGTGCAATATTTAAGAGTTTCTGGAAAAATAATTATGGGCATATTTAAATTTTCCGCTGCGTATTTAAAGTAATTATGGACTTTTAATTAAATTGAACCAACGGGAGAATTTGATTTTAAGACCAAGAGATAAATATGAGATGATTATGATATTGTTATTTTCGATAACGTTGTTAATAGCAATATTATAATTTTAATGATTATGCATTATTTCTATTTACGCCCAGCGGTGATGTAGATTTAATGTATAAAACAATTGTATGTTTTAATTTTGACCAACGTTAAACTAAGGCATGCAATTATTGTTGTTATTTCTGTTCTCACACTATTTGAATTGTAGCCAGGAGGATACAACAATGAGTTGTATCAAAGAGATCCCCACTCTAAAATGTGATAACTATAATGAGAGGAAGAAAAAGATAGACTGGCCTTCATCCTCGTTGAGGTGGATCTGGTTGTCACCACACCGTGCCCAGAGAAACTGTGGGCACGGTGAGGGAGACTGATGAGGACCGATGTTGCATGGCGAGAATAGAGAGCGGGATTTTACTCCCAGTAAAGATGTCCTATGACCTTGAGCATAGGATGGGTCACTTGCCAACAAGAAGTGTTTGGCGTTGATAAAGAACACAATTGAGCCTCGCTATTGTGGGCTCAATTCCAGATTGTGACACGAGTCACAGAGTACCTAGATAGAATAAAGAGGTTCTTTGGCTCTTCAAAGATATATATGCAACCCATTGATCAAGCAATTTGGTTACTGAAAAAGGTACTACGGTGGCTGCAGGAGTGGCATTAGAGAGCACTATCTTGAGAATGAGCAATCGGCATCTAAGCTCAAACCAATGGATTTGGCACTCAAGGATGAGTTTCTTATTCATTTGATTTTTGCTTCTTTGCCCAAAGAATTTGACACCTTTTTGTTGTTAATTACAACATGTTGAAAAATGGGATTTAGAAAAGCTCATAGCCATGTGTGTGTGCAGGAGGAGGAAAGAATAAAAGTTTCACAAGGTGGTTACATCAACTACCTAAAAGATAAGAAAAGAACTATTATAATGACTCTTCCTCCAAGTCATCTGGAAAAGGTCCCATGCACAGGTCTCGAGAATCGGCAATTCCGGTGGCTAAAGACCGGTGTCTCCATTTGAAGAAGACGGGACATTATAAAAAGAACTGTTCCGATTTCCTAAAGATGATAATGAAGAATAAAGGTGAGAACATTATTACGTTCAGTAAATGAATCATTGTATGTAAAGTTTTCAAAATCTACTTAGTGGATTGATTCAGGGTGCAACTATTCATGTTGCTAATTCATTACTGAGGATTTCGATTCGATGAGAACTTTGCAAAAAGCGAAAGTTTCATTAAAGTCGCAAATGGAGTACAAGCGAAGTTGAGGCCGTTGGAGATCTTCCTCTAGAGCTTCCGGATGGCTTTATACTTTTTCTTAGAGATGTTCTTTATGTACCTTCTTTGCAAAGAAACCTGATTAGTGTATCAAAATTGGACCATGATGGTTATGATTGCCATTTTGAAAATGGCAAATGTCGATATTGTTTAATAATAATGTGTTGGTCTTGCCTTGGACAAGACGAGCTTTATTTGTTATCACTTCGTGAAAATGTGAATTCAGTATGTGATGTGAATGAAAATGTATCCTCATCGAACAATGAAAGCAGAAACGAAAGAGAGCTCACGATGCGTTGTCGAAATTATGGCACTGTCGTTTAGGCCATATTTCGAGGGGGAGAATAGAAAGACTAGTTAAGAATAATATTCTTCCTTCATTAGAGCTCTCAGAGTTAGAACAATGTAGAGATTGCATAAAAGGAAAGTATGTAAAGAAAATTAAGAAAGATGTCAAGCGAAAGTTGCAGAATTCTCTGATTATTCACACGGACATATGTGGTCCTTTTTCCGTGAAAAGTGTGGATGGTTATGATTCATTCATAACATTCACAGACGATTACTCTCGGTTTGGCTATATTTATCCAATTAAAGAAAGAATGAAGCGTTGGATAAATTCAAAATATTTAAAGCGAAGTTGAAAATCAAAGCATGATTTAAAGATTAAGATAGTCAGTGTCGACTGTGGAGGAGAGTACTACGGTCGGCATACCCCATATGGACAAGTTTCTGGACCTTTCGCAAGGTTCTTACAGGAGAATGGTATAGTAGCCAAAGATTCAAACAGGCGAACTCTCAGCAGAATGGAGTATCGAAAGGCGAACTGCACTACCACGATGGATATGATGCGTAGTATGATAAGTTACTCCACTTTACCGATGAGTCTGTGGATGGAGGCGTTAAAAACCGTGATTCATATTCTCAATAGAGTACCAAGTAAGTGGTGCCCAAAACACCGTATGAGTTGTGGGATGGAAGAGTACCCTCACTTAACCACTTGCGTGTGTGGGGAGCCTACTTTGAGGCTAAAGTTTTAACCCAAACATTGGGAAGTTAGATCCCAAAACGGTGAGTTGCCATTTCATTGGCTACCAGAAAAGTCAAAATGTTTTCGTTTCTATTGTCCTAATGAGACATACAAAGTTTGTGGAAGCGAGACACATTTGTCTTCCTAGAGGATGAAATGATTAGGGGAGCATGGTAGCTCGAGAAATTGACCTTGAAGAGAAGCGGGTGTATGCACCCACTCCGATCATTCATGAGTCATTTTTCTCACTACTCGCTGTATGCTTTGCACCAACAAGACAAGACACCGTGGTGCCAAGACTGTTGTTATCCCTTTGTGGCAACAATGAATGATGATGAGGAACCTGTGCCTCAGGATCCTATAGAACCTATTGCCACACATGAGGGGGAGCAACAATGACCTCAAAGCAGAAAATGTGTCAATTGAGGAGGCCCTAGAAGGTCTCAAAGAGTTAGAAAATCAGCTATTCTCTTTGATTATGAAGTGTACAACACTTGAAGAATTTCAAATGGGGATGATCCCACCTCATTTGAAGAAGCCATAAAAAGTGATCATTCATCAAAGTAGCTTGAGGCCGGGGAAGATGAGATGAGATCAATGAATGCAAATAAAGTTTGGGATTTGGAGATAATTCCTAAAGGAGCCAAAACAAGAGGGTCAGTAAATGGGTCTACAAAACAAAACTTGACTCTCAAGGGAATATAGAAAGATATAAAGCCCGACTTGTGGCAAAAAAGGCTTTACACAAAGAGAAGGATTGATTACAATGAGACTTTTCTCCGGTCTCGTGTAAGATTCCTTCGTAATCATAATGGCATTAGTGGCACATTACGATTTGGAATTACATCGGATGGATGTAAAGACGACATTTCTCAACGGAGACTTAGAGGAAAATGTTTACATGGCACAACCGAAAGGTTTTGTCATGGAGGAAAAAAACGTTTGGGATGCCGCCTAAAGAAATCTATTTATGGATTAAAACAAGCTTCAAGACGGTGGTACTTGAAGTTTGATCGAACAATAAAGAATTTTGGGTTTAAAGATAATGTTGAGGACAATTGTGTCTACATAAAGTTTAAGAATGGAAAGTTTATCTTCCTTGTCACGTATGTGGATGATATCTTACTTGCAAGTAGTGATGTCGGTCTACTCATCTGGAAACAAAGAAGTTTTGTCCTCAAAATTTGATATGAAAGATCTTGGTGAAGCTTCGTTCGTTCTAGGGATCGAGATTCAGAGATAGAAGTAAAAGGGTATTAGGACTGTCACAAAAGGCATACATAGAAAAGTCTTAAAGAAATTCGGTATGCACAAATGTAGTCCCTCACCTGCTCCTATAGTCAAGGTGACAGATATGGGGATTTTCAATGCCCTGAACCAATATGAGATCGATCAAATGAAAGTGGTTCCATATGTTTCGGAAGCTTGCAATATGCTCAAGTGTGGCATACGACTTGGCATTTGTTACCGGGCTTGGCGATTGAGCAATCACGGAATAGAACACTTTGAAATTGGTAAAGAAAGTCTTGCGTTATTTGCAAGGAGGAAAGGCCTCATGATGACATATAGAAGATCCGATTCACTCCATATAGTGGGATAGATTCGATTATTGGGAGATAATAGAAAATCCACGCCACGGATATGTGTTCACTCTCGCAGGGGAGCTATTTCATGGAAAAGCTCAAAGCAAACCGTCACTACATCGTCCACAATGTATGCCGAGTTTGTAGCGTGTTATGAAGCAGCAAGGTGTGAATGGCTAAAGAAGTTCATACCCGGTTTAAAGGTGGTTGACGACATCAATAGACTATGAAGTTATCTTTGCGATAATAATCCAAGAAGACAGTATGCTCACAACAATAGGTCAAGTGGTGCTGCCAAACACATTGACATAAAGTATTATGTTGTGAAGGATAAAGTCCGGGATCAAATGATAAGTCTTGAGCATATAAGTACTCAAAAGATGCTTCGCGGATCCGCTTATAAAAGGCTTACCACCCAACGTGTTCAGAGAACATGTAGGCATGGGTTTAAGGAAAGCCTATGATTCCCGGACTATAAAGGGCCCAAAAGTTAAAGTAACTATTTCAGAAGAGGTGTGCATTGTAGCTGTTAAATCTATCGGCGATTGACCGTGACGATGAGACATGCTCTATGCATCATCTGTGAAGAAATGAGTAAGGATAAAATGATTGAAGTTTAAAGTTTAAAGATAAAAGTAATGGTGAGATCAAGGGGAGAATGTTAGATTGATCTCTAACCAATAAGCCCAACGCTTATTGGGCCTTAATCACGCTATCGATCGGGGCGCCCAACCCTACATGGTTGGTTCGTCACGATCAAGCGCTTATATAAAGAGGTGGGGGCCGGCGGCTCAAAGCACGAGGAGGTTCGCAGTGAGCCGCCAAAACCCCACCGACAAACCCTAATTCGATCTCGAAGACTAATGACGGAAGCCGCCACCGTCATCACCGTTAGACGTCGCCATGGCATCACGTCTCCACTGCGTCGCCTCTCTTCATAAGTCACGCCACGTGGCGACTTCACCGACGAAGGTCGATGGAGGCCTCTGGATCCACTCCCTCCGGGATCTCGGGTCAAACACCTTCTCCTTCCTCTAGATAGCATTCTAGGTCGTACATCGTTGCTGTTGCCTACCGCTCTTGTTGTCTACCCTCTAGACCGACTGCTAGATGATTCAAAGGGTTTTAACAGCTACCAGCTAGCATGTTATTTGTTATCTCTGCAAGTTGCACAAACAAATCTATATGAATTTTAAATGCACGCAATAAAATATTTTGTTATTATTAGATTCAGTATCACATCGAAAATTGACTGCTGGCTCGTTCCATGTGGTTTGTAATAATTTATGTGGCTTGGCCTGGGTCTAATCAAACCTATCAAAACCTATCAACGTGTATGTTTGGCACTTGGTCACAGGGTTTTAGTAATAAAGATTTGAATCCGCTACTACTATTACAAGTTACTGCTATGGTCACTTTGGTTGGTTAAACAAGAATGATTTGATATTTGAAAAAAAAACTTAATTTGGTTTTCTTTGCAGGTTATGTTCTCAGTTATCCACTAGCTCTGTAATTGGACTATCCTCCAGAAGCCCCACTTGCTCTTAGTTACCCACTAGCTACGCAATTGGATTACCTCCAGAAGCCGCACTTGCAGAATTATGTTGTAGTGGCTTCACAACAGTTGGTGAGGATACCTCAAGACTTCTCTTCCTAGACATTCAGACGGCGATCCAGTCTACGTATTGATGATCATTAGGACGGTTTTCTCTTGTAATCATGGTCGCGTGCTTCTTTTTTAGTCAGGTGCCAGAAGTACTGTTTCAAGTCGTTGTATCAGCTCGATAGTTTACTCTTAAAACTGAAGGGAGAAACGAAGAGGTGCCCGCTTCCAGTAAGACTGTAAATCTGTAAATGTATCACAGGCTACAATAATCCAAGTAGACAGCAAGTCAGCAAATAAAACATAACAAAATTCATTCAATACCCTAGACTTTTCTGCCGTATTCTGAACGTAACATTGACATCTTGAAAGGTTATATATGACTTTCTTTTCGGTTTCTGACAAGCGGCAATTTTTGTGGCGAGCAAATTGTTTGGTTGATCCACCGTGCACGGTAGCATTGCCGGTCTGGCAGTGGCAGGGAGATAGCAACTTCAGGTATACCTGTGTCGATGTAGGCTACTATGTCTGGATAAAAAAAAACACGGCCCACCAAATTCTCAAGCTTCATAGAAGCAGAATCTTTTAATTCTACCTTCAAGTTGAGGCAATCAATACTCAATAGCTATAAATATATTTTATACATGTTGAGTGTGGGCTTCCATATTTTGACCACTTATGCCAAATTTTCTACTTGCTTCAGTCTCCAAACTCTCAATGCCTCTTTACCATTACAAATGTTTATGGTCTTCTGTTTCTTGTGAGAATCCTCGCTGATTCAAATCAAGGAAGTTAAAGAGTTTGTTTTCTTGCGAATTGAGCATAGTTTAGCTAGTAGGTTTCTTATGGTGGCACTTAGGCTTAAGTCATTAACTTTACAATGGTGTTCATATTTTCCTGGATTGATTTCAGAATTTAACAATGCTCGACAGCAATACACTATGTTAATTTCAAGATATGTTGGATCAGAGGTGCTTATAGGGTCGAGGCGCTATGGTAAGAGCAGCTCTAAGAGTTTTTTTTTAAACGCACCCTCTAAAGCATCATTTGGAGAGTCATTTACATAAAAACCACTTTCTATATCATTCCACCTTACAACAACCTTTCTATATCTTGTGCGCACTCTATAGTCATCCTTGCTCTCTATCCTAGGATAGCGAGAAATTTAAAAATAGAGGATGTCTATATTTAGAGATCCAATTAAAAAGTGGTTGGAGGATATTTTTTTCACCAAATTTTTATACCTATTAATTAGGAAGGATATAAATAAGCTCTTGAAGTGACTTTGTTAATTTTAAAATTTGTCGGCCTAGAGTTGCTCATACACCATTATCTACAAAATAGAGTTGCTGAAATTTGTTTTCTCGAAACAAAAAGGGTTAAAGACTTTGTTGGGCCGACAGCGAGGCAGATGAACTGCAGAAACAGAGGCCCAAACTGAATAATCGTTGGGCTTCTCTGCCTGCCCTCGGCACGTCTGCCGTAGTCCCAAACCAGCCCACTCCCCACGGCCCATCGTTCCAAACCGATGCGGCGGGCGGATGACGTCGTCCCCGGGCATGTGTGTCCCCGTGCGAGTGACACGAGCCGGCCCACGTCTCCTCCCCGCCCCGCTCCGCTGGACCTTGGCCTCGGGCCTCGGCGGTGTGGAGTGGAGGCCAAAACCCTCGCCAAAATCCCCCAACTCCACCACCACTTCTCTCGCTTTCGCTTTATCACCTGTCGCCACCAACAGTCGCCCCGCCCCCGAGCCACCGCCGCCGCCGCCGCAGTCGCCGGTCGGGACGCTCCGGGCGACCGCGCCCCCCACGGAGGAATGTCCCCCTCGGCTCCCGCCCTCCTCCACCACCGCGGTACGCGACCACCCCCTGCTCCCCTCCGCCTCTCGTCTCCCGTGCTTACCGTGTGGCGCTGGCGCCGTCCATCTCTAACCACCTAGGGTTTCGCTCCGCGGGTCTGCCCTATCGCCTGTTGTTGGACGACGTTTGCCCTGCCGCCCTGTGCCGTGCGCGCGCCCCTGTCGTGACGGTGGGAAGCAATGCGCGCGATGTGGGGCCAGGGCAGCCTGCGTAACGGTCGAGGCTGTTTGCTACGTGGCGCGGGTTCCCCAGATGGCGCCGTGTGAGAATGGTGAATCATCAGAGGAGACCTAATCGGGAGTTATGCGGAGAATGGAACTGTTGGAGCCAGTGAATTCCACCAGATTGCTCTGGGAATTATAACCTTTGCTATGAAATTCCTGGGTAGCAGATGGGGCAAATTACTTTTGCTCCTTCATCATGGGGTGCACCGTGGACAAACTATAGACATGTGGCTTCTGTAGTCCAGTGTAACGCTGCCAGCCTCATCTGCTAAGAAACTGGGTAGAGACTTGGTTCTCCAACTATTATAGGTCTTCAGAATCTTATCAAATTGATTGCAATCTCAGCAGTGTTGAATTCACCGTCTATTCCAGTTCCCTGTCTTCGTTTAAGTGCAAGGGGCCAAGGGCTAATTACTTAAATTGATCAGGGTTTTATAAACGCCATGACTGGGATTGCGTGTGATGTGAATTTGATGCTTCATCCACGATTTTACAATGAAAGCCTATCTAATTTATGAGTGATGATCTTTTCTATTTAGATGCCTTGCAGTTTCTTCGCTGCCTGGATGCACATGTTGGCTAAGTTACTGGTCTTTGTTATATTCTGTTAGGTGACTGCCATCTTAATAGCCCCATGTTCAAAATGGATTGCATTTAATTCCCAGATTTAGCTTATATTAGACTTTACTGTTAGTTGCTATTTCTTGGTATCGTCACCCAGTGCAGTGTATTCATCTTTTTCGTACGTGGTGTAAACACTTCCCACTTTTGCGTTGTTTGGCTTTAATTAGGACAGTTTTTTAGCTGATTCATAAAAATGCACAGATCTACTCTTACTGTATGCCGTTCAGATGTACAGATAGGCCACATAAATGGTGCATACTCTTTAAGCATCTTATCATGTTTCCATGATCAAGCTATGACTTGTGACTTTCGCTCTAGACAAAAAGGTGAATGTGGGCTTGTTTAACACTTTGTTTTTCGTATAAACACTTCTTGTAGTCTTTTCCTTCCGATGGCCTTCGTTTTTTCTTAAAAAGATTCTGTAAGTTACTTTTATATATCATCCAAGTGGTTCTGTAAATACTGACTTTGATATGATATTTCTACGAAGATGTTTATATCAAAATTGTTCTTGTTAGCCATGCAATCTCGGTTTATTTTGTTATCGATATCCCATATCGTGTACGATAGCAATTAATGCATGCAGTTCCATTTTAAGCTTCCTATTCCTTCCTAATTCACAAGTTCCTTCTAAAGCAATAACTAATGTACAGTGCTTTTGCTGCACAGGGGTCTCAGGTAGAGCAACCTTACCTGTGCATCATGGAGAAAGCAGAATCCCTCCAGGAGCTTGTTTCATGGGCACATCACCTATGTTGGGGCCAATGAGGGTATCCTTGGTATGTTGTGCAAGCCCCAACCACCATAGGCTAAGGAATTCGGATACATCGCGACAACAAAAAGGGGGGTCCTCCAGAGGGAAAGGCAAGTCGTACCAGGATAAAGATGATTCTGAGAACATTGATGAATTCGATAGCGATATCATGTTCTCCAAGAACGGACCACCAATCTCTTTGGCAAGCAATTCCCGTCCTCAAGCTACATCAGCTCCTGGGGAAAGAGAGAAGGAGATTGTGGAGCTCTTTAAAAGGGTTCAAGCACAGCTGCGAGCTAGGGGGAAAGGCAGGGAAAACAAGAAGCCTGAACCTGCAAAAGTGAAGGGTGAAAGGGGCAGTGTTGATTCACTTCTTAAGCTGCTTAGGAAACACTCTGTGGACCTGAGAAGGAAGAGCAGTGACGACAAAGAACAGAATTTTGATGTAATGAGGAGAAGCAACGATTCTGGAAATAGACAAAGTTCAACCATCTTTGGCACAAAAAGTGACATCCAGGAAGAGCAGAAGAAGCCACCTCCGGCACCCTTCAAAAGGCCAGCTTCAAATTTCAGGCGAAGATCTCCTGTTCCTGGAGTGAAGTTCCAGCCTGTTATCAATGCGGACGTAGACAGAGATGCCGATCGCAAGTCCATCGGCAGTAATGTCGCCGATGCTGTACAGAAAGCTAAGACAGCTCTTGATGAGAGGACTGCTACAGACGAGCCTGACTCCATGTCTCCGTATGAACCTGATTCTGTAATAGAACCAGAAAATATTTCTTTGGAAGACCTCGATGACATTTTAGACGACGATGAAGAATCTGATGCAGATGAACCAGATGATGAGTATTCAGAACCTTCTTTGGAAATCGCTGATGTTACAGAGACGGATGAATTGCACGTGAACAACTCCATGGAAAGTTCAGATCTAAGGTCTCTGAAGGTTGCAGAGCTGAGAGAGCTTGCAAAGTCCCGAGGAATCAAAGGCTACTCAAAGATGAAGAAAAACGAGTTGATTGAAGTCTTGAGCAGCTGCATGGCTTGATGATAAACGAGTGATGTTGTCAACCTGGCCCTCTGTTTGAACCCACTTTGCTTGGCCAGAGCCGCCTCCTCTCAGTCCCGTAGAAAATTGTAAATGAGCAAGGCTAACTTTGTTCCGGTCTGTGCTGATCTTTTGCTGGTTCTCATTTTGTACGCCTAGTTTGGTAGCCATTTAGCTGAATTCTGTGCTGAGTGGAGTAAGGTAGCTGAGAGCCTGAGATGCTAGCTGTTTGTGTACTATAAATCAATGCACTACGTTCGTTCTAGGTGGTGTTCGTCTTTTCCACAGAGTTGACCTATGGCTGTGATGGACCGTTTGCATATCAAACTGGTAAGGCTACTGGATTGGTCTTGCCGATATTGTTCTGGAACATTGTTGGTTTTTACCTGGGTGATGCTGCAGATGAACCCCGTACTGGCAACTCCCCTGAGAGAGATGTTGCCACATGGTGTTGCTTTGCTTGCATTGCACCCTTCTCTGTATCAATTAATATACAAGATGGTGCTGTGCTGCAACAACGCCTATTGTTTTTGTAGGACAGTGCCACAATATTTATCCTATGTATGAACAAGAACAAGTCCTGATCTCTCTTTGCGTTGCAGGTGAATGAAGGCTGGCAATTATTGGCCTGCGCTGCGCTCTCGACGCGTAGCTGCAGCTTTGCTCATGGTCATGGAAGACAGGATGAGGAAGAGGAGGAGCAGCCACCAATAACGCATGGGTGGTTTGTTACTTTGTTCAGAGACAGGACACACTAGGACAGGACTGTGTTAAGGCCGGCGGCTGCGTTATTGGCCTGTGCTTCCTTGTGCTAATCGTGTGGCACTGGCAGGCGTCCACGCGGGGAGGGGGGAAGGGGGGGACTCCCTCGCTCAGTCTGCATATGCCTAGGTCTCTGGCAGCCGTCAGATCTGGAGTGATTGGACGGTTAGTTGGCCTCCTCACGTGCCTGGTCACTGCTGCTTGTCTCTCTGGCGGACTGGCTCTGCTTCCGCCTGGGCCTGGGGCCTGGGCATACTGCCAAGCCCTGATTAAAGCTGGCCCAGCTCGATACGGCCGCAGTTATCATTGTACGTACTGCAACCGAGTCCCAGCCACCGCCCTCTCTTTTTTTTTTCATTCAAAAAAAAAAAAAAAAAGTAACGAACACATTTTTGTCCTGTTGGCATGCAGTAGCCACGTATTTGCACACAGGGCCCTTTATGCAAGGCTTCCTCCTTTTGCGTCTCCTCACTCATCTGCTGATCCTACGACACAAAACGCTCGAGAGGCAGAGAGGCTAGCTGCTGCAACGCCGCATGCATGGACCGGGACCGGTGCTGACCATTGGCCAGCATGCATGCAGATGCAGGTAGGAACGAGACGACGAAGCCAGACCAGACCAGCACAGCACAGCACAGGACGGACGGACGGACGTGTACAACGACAAGGTGTGCGTAGACACGTTAGCTAGGCCGGTCCCAGCCTGCACCGCGTTTCTGTAGCGCGCCATCACTACTGTTCGAACTCTCTTCTCCAAGCTGAGGTTGAGCCGCGGCGCGACAGGGCGAGGGTAGCTAGCACCAGCAGCTAGCTAGGCTGCCGGGCGCCGGACGCGCCGATACTGTTGCCGCGTCGGAGTAGAGCGACCTAGGCCTGCACGCGCCGTGCGCCAGTGCGTGCACGGGAGCCTGGAACCCTGCGTGTGCCGAGTGCCGACGGCCGGGAAGTCGGGAACTGAAGCCGACTAGTCCACATCACACGCCCTGGCCTGCTCATACCATGGGCCATGCATGCATTATGCGCCGTGCGTGGACCATGTGTGATGTGTCCATATCGCAAGCAGCCTCGCACACATCAAACATGAGCACTAGCTACCTTGCTACCTATATCTATATGGTCACGTGTTCTTCCCCTTTTTTCTTATACTAGCAAACATGCATGTATGTTGCGACGGAAACATACAACCTACTACGCGGTCATTTAGACGAATGATAATTGTGTCATCAGTTCCGGCTTGAAATCGGTCTCTGTATTGTAGCTAGATGGGCAGTTCAAAACATGGTCTCATATTGGATTTGGATTGTGCTGGCTTTGATTGAAAATGTGGCCCCGTGTCGGATTTGGACTAGAAATGTGCGGACAGTAAGAGTGAGATACAGACACACTGGAGAGTGATATGCGTTGGGATGGCCTAACGGGCGAAAAGTAGGGCAGGATAGTCATTTTGGTCCCTCGACTATCGTTTGAGGCACAATTTCATCCTTGAACTTTCAAAATGATCAATTCAATCCTTTTGGGTTCAGTTTCATTGTAGGACTTTCAAAGTGACCGTTTCAGTTCTAAAACTTTGTATTTTTGGGCTTAGTTTCATCCATGAACTACCATAGCGCATTTTAGTATTTAAGCTTTTCTTTTCGGCTCAACTTCATCCCTTATTCTACGTGGAACTCCGTGATGTGACACCTGGTCAACTCTAGAACCACTCGCGATTCAAGATGGACGGTTATCTATCGTTCAATACCATTGTCCCGATCTGGTGGCACCTTCCCCAGATATCGAATCGGATAGCACACTTTTGACATTTATATCCATATTTATAAATGAATATAAATATAGATCTGTATATCCTCTAATATGAATAATCGGATCGTTCAGATCCGATATCATATGTTCAATTATAATTATATTGTTTCATTTGAGTAACAAAATGTTATTTCTAGCATATGACAAAAACACATTATTTTTATTCGCAACAGGTTATTAGTTGAGCCTGATGCAAGAAATATCTAAGGGAAAATTGTAGATCTATTGATGTTCTAATTCATCAATGTGTTCTCAAGGTACGAAATCGCGTTTGTAGCCACTGCAATTATTCCCACAAAAGCAGTGTAGTATCTAGTTTATAGTTCAAGAGAAAGATATTTCCTTGATTCTTTCTTTCTTCCCAATTCCTAGAATCATGCTTGTTTTAAAAGATAAATCATGCTATTTGAATAGTTGGTTTGACTATTTGTTTCAATAGTCGATACTCCTATGGTGCTTCTATTAGAGTAGGTGGGTAGCATATCACCATCATGTTTCATCAATTTAATGCTTAAATTGGTTTATCCATTCTTTCATGGACACTGGTATATAAACGGTACCATCTAAAATAATCCATTAGAATTATTAATGGCCATTAAAGAGTTTTTCGACCGTCCACTAATAATGTTTTTATCCGAATCTCCAATCGCGAGCGGTGTTGGAGCTGATCAGGCATGATGGTGTGGTGGTCCACAAAGGACTAGGAATGAAGTTGAGCTAAAAGCAAAAGTTTGAAGAGTAAAATATACTCTACTTTGATAGTTCATGGATGAAATTGAGCCCAAAATGCAAAGTTTGAGGATTGAAATAGTCACTTAAATAGTTTCACTACTACACAAAACTTAACCGAGGCGGTTTTGCCGAAAGGTCACGGTTAATCGCGCCTTAATGGAGGCGGTTGGTTGCCCGCCTCGGTTAATCAAATAAAAAAAATAAAAAAAATGAAAACCCGTGGACAAACCCAGCGAGCCCATCCATGGGCCCGCTGAGCCCATCCAAGGGCCACCGCCGCCCGCTAGATGTGCGCCCGCTGGTTGTGCCGCGTCGCCGGGCAGCCGTGCCAGCGAGGCCACGAGGCCACGCCCGCGAGCTCGTCCCCCAGGCCTTCAGATCCGCTCGAGTGAGGGAGAGGGAGAAGGAGGGAGGCACAAGAGATGGAGGGAGTGGCAGAGACGGTGCCGGTGAAGAAGCCGCCGCCCGGATCTGCGGACACTGAGCCCACCGGCCTCAGATCCACACGCCCACGAGCCCCGCTGCCGCCGGGGAAGCAGCCAGCGCTGCCGCATCGGCCAGGCCCGTGTCCGCGTCACCCGCGCCCGCGTCGCCGCCTCGGCCAGGCTGTCGCGCCCGCGAGGCCGTGCCGCTGGGCTGCCAGTCGTCGCGCCAGGGAGCTCCTCCAGATCCGCTGCTGGTGAGGGAGAGGGAGAGGGAGGCAAGGGAGAGGAGAGAGGAGGGGGCGCTCGGGTGCGGTGCGGTGCGGAGAGGGAGGCACGGGAGAGGAGGGGGCGCTCGGTTGCTGAGTGAGGGAAGTGAGTGAACCCTAACTCCCCTGCTCCAGTATATATATAAACCCGATAGTTGATTGGATATGGGCTTTTTGCTGGGCCTCGGGAATATTAACCGAGGCGGTCCGCCTCGGTTAATAGATTTTAGGAGGCGATTATTTTTTAGCCGCCTCGGTAAATAGATTTTGCGAGGCGGTTTAAAATCCCGCCCGCCTCCGAGGCCATTCTCCAAACGCCTTGCATAAGTTATTTTGTAGTAGTGTTCTAGGATGAAATTAAGCCTGAAACTAAATTAAACTTTGAGGTCTGAAACGGTGAAACAGTCGTTTTGATAGTTCAGGGACAAAATTAAGCCTCAGGCAATGTTGAGGGAACTAAAATGACTATTTCACCAAAGAGTAGGAGGGTTCTACTTTTCATATTATCAGGTAGATATAGGTATAGAGGTATACATATATATACAGTCAGAATATCCCTGTATTTTTTTACATCATGAAAAACTCCGTGCTTCACATATCACATACTTGTTTAATGCAAGAAGAAGCGTCAACTCATAATTATTACAGGCACACTCAATGTTTAATTAAACTCGTATATACTGATTGTGATTGCTGACCAATAAGCAAATAAAATGAAAGGCTATCCATTAAAAGCGAAAATATATATATATCTGATCTCTCCATTGCTAGAGCGGAGAGATCATAGATACAGTTGGCACACCTCTATCAGCCGTTCATTTCTTTGTGGTCATCCGTGCGCTGCAACAGAGCCGGTCTTTTGACATGTACAGCAAGTGGTAACTACTAACTAAGGGGTGGTGACCAGTGACTACTGGTACTACGACGACGACTATATGTGTCTTATTGTGCTGTACATCGCGAGAGGCCGGGGACGGGGAGGCTAGCTGCCGGCTTTAATCACGGGCACTGT